GGGGGGGGGGCCCACATCGATGGTTCGCCTAACCTTTCTTGACGACTCCTCCAATCATCGGATTCCTGCTGTGACGGCTCTGCCTTCACTGACTTCAATCGACTATCTACTCGTCTCAGGTGATCTTCGACATCCCGGCCAATGGTGGAAAATCTTTTTTTCACTTCTTGTTATGTTCCCACTGAATCAGCTGACTCTTGCGAACTTCTCATCGTCTTATGGATGGCTACTGTAACGAGATCGACCCTGTCGGTGAATCTGGGTAATACCGGCTGTTTCTGTTCTCCGCACTCATTTCTTCAAACTTAATCAGTTTTCAGATAAGCATTCGCCCTCAAACATATGATCGCCGTTTCCTCATCTGTGGTCTCAATAATATAAGGATTTCATCTCTGAAATTTTTCAAACGTTTGTATCAAGTGAAGTGACGTCATCTTCAAAGGCTATTCCACCGTTTCTCACTGTATGAGCTGGACCAAAGTAGTATGAGCTTATGATCACCTTAACTTTCGGTCAGCTAAATCCACTGTTTGTAAGATGTTCTTCCTCAGCGTAAGTTTGGCTGTGGCACGCCAACAAGTCCGCCTAATCAACAATTTCAAGGGCAGAAGAATTAAGCTCTAACAGCTTTCAATTCCCATGGCGATATCCTGTCCGTGTTGAGAACGGTAGCTTTATTCCTGTCCTTGCACAGAAACCAGTAATTTCGTATGGTATTGACACGAAACCTAGTCTATTCTCCATCGTTGCTGACCCTCATCCCAGTGTTCCTATATTCGTGCGAACTGAAAACTTCAAAGTGAACTCTCCTTGGCTAGCCCCTATCCTCTTCAAAGCTCTCTTCAGAGTTTCCCATTTTCGCTTTCTTGTTGAAGGATCCATTTTCTCTGTTCCTGACGCAGGATTATGGTATTCTGACTTCAGCCCCGCCATACTATCTCCGCTTATTACTTACCTCCATTCCTTTGCTAGTTCTAAATCAGTTTTGGCTCTGAAAACCTCTTGAAATTGACGTTTCACCATGCATTACGAAAACGGCCCTACTCCTTTGCAAATTTCTATCAGATTTCATCCCGTCTTCGAGACATCCTATGGAATTGTAATCCGTGATTTTAGCTCTGCTCTCAGCAGAGCTCTATCTATTACTAACATTCCACCTCTAGTTCTCTGCTGGTCCTTATGCATTCTGATGGGTTTCAGAATGATCACCGGCGTGAATATCATTTCACGTTTCAGCCCCACCCAGTCCCAGCGCAGTATGGAAGTTGGTACTCCATCTGAGTGCTTATCTCCTTCCACTTTTCCTCGGTCTCCAGAACCTTTTGATACGGAGCTGTTATGTTCAAAATTGTTTACGCTCATTACGCTCTACCACTTACAAAGCCAGCATTTCCCTAGTCGCTCGTCCCTATTTACTTTTTGCAGGTTTAGAACACTTGGACAAAGGTACCAAACCAGGCTCAAGCCTCAGCGAAGCCTTTGCTTCGAAGTGGTCAAAATTTACTCTCTAGCACTTCGCTAATTCCTATCGTCCTAAGAAAGCACACACATCTTCATTGTTGCCTTCCTCCTCCGCTCTACACACCCCGCCTCCTGT